CTGTTTTAAAGGTAACAAAAACAGCATTTGCTAGAAATCAATATATATAAATCGCACAGGATTTCTATACAATAAAATAAACAAAAAGCTTGACATCTACAGCAAAACACTTAAAAAATGTAAGCTAATATTGACTAATTTTCTTTTGCCTTTAAATTATGATGAGACAGAGTCATTATTGAAACTAAATAAATAAACACAGTCATTCCCACCCTATCAAAACACTATTTATCTACAATGTACATGCTGATACAAAACATTGACTTACCGTTATATATGTATAGTATGCTCTTTTTATTTCGTTTTGATTTTACTTCATATGTTTATTTTTTTTTTTTTGCTATTTTTTTATTTTCTTGTGAGTTGTAAATTATCAGCTATGGAAGAGCGAAGTCACCTGTCACATGCATTTTATGCTTACTAGGTGACTTCGATCACTGAATTTGTTAATGGTAATCAAATATTTAACGTAATAAATATTATTATTATTATTAAAAAAAATTAAGCGTTATTCCATTAAATATTTCAGGACACATTTTTACACAATTCTGTCTTCCCAAACTAAACAAAGCTTGTACTATGGGTACTAGGTAACTGATAAGCATGCTTAAACGTCCTTTTCTTTGTAAATAAATACATACATATTATAGATATGTAAACACCCAGTAAGAAAGACAGTGTATTCATCACACAATATTTTTTCAGTAGCGGAGATCGAATCCGCACTCTCTGGCGCAAGAGACAGGTGCACCAGGCACTATGCCAATGGGAGCACACTCAGCTGTCAATGTCCGATCCTATTCCTAAATAAATAAATAAAATAAATCACATTCCACATGTATGTGATATGTTTTTAAGGAGCCTAGGTACAACTTAAGGTTTTAAGGACCTTAAAGCATAACACGGGTAAAATTTAATATGCATCAAATCTTGCTCATAAACTTGCAGCATATAAATAAGATAAAAAATACAAAAAATAAAATAAGTTGAATAATACATATATTGTTAATTCGTTATCTTACATCAAATAAGATTAAGATAAATAAAATAAACATTTATTATAATTGAGAACACTGTGATAATTTTAAACTGTAGTCCAAACGTGTAAAATGAAAGAAGAAAAAGTGTATTTTTAATATCAAAATGGCAAAACATAGTTGACCCTATTTAGTTTTGTGTAGACTTCACAGATACCGCCTTAGGTTTATGAAATAAAAAGAAATATTTCAGTCCAAATATTTATTGTAAAAATTGTGGATATAACAATGCTCGTATTTGTACTAAGCGAAAGGAAAACATTCAGGATAAAACGTTACAACATATTGTAGATAAACACACAAAAATGCAAATGGTTTCTACTTTTGTAAACATTAATTATTATATATACAGTTTTCAACGCCCATCATTATTTATTGGTCCCATTTAAACGCACGACTCCTAGGAACTAGAATACTGTAATTTCAACGCTTCGTTCAAACAAATCTAGTAGGTATATCTAGTGTGTATCTAGTAGGTATATCGAAATAAAACAAGCATTTGCAATTTTTAAGATGTGGTTGGGCTCATAAAGTTGAAATTGAATTAATCTATATACAATCTCTCAGTTTGAATTGGCATAACTTTAAGGTATAAAAATGAACGAGACCATGCATTAAAACCCAATGACATATGGATGTTTGAATATACAGGGTGGCTTATCTAAAGGTGCCCAAATTTACACAGGAGGTTCAGACTCGGTAGTATAATCGTTTATTGACATAAAAACAAACTTTTTTTTTTTCAAAAAAAATTGCCATTACATTCCCTAAAAAACAGAACTTGTTGACAATGCGGTAGTCATTCATAATACGTTGTATACTTTTGAAACGAACTTGTGTGCGTGTTGGTTACGAATGATCGCTGTGATGAGTTGCCCATAAATCACGCACTTTGAGATAAATTCAAATGAATGTGTTTAATTAATTATGCGTGATTTTAATATTATTATATTTATAATTTTTTATATAACATTATTTATGTCTAGAATTTAATGAAAAAAAATGGATACACTTAGAAAAGCCTCCCTGTATAGTGCATTAATTTCTTTTCGAATTTTTATTTTTTATACAATAAAATTAATAAAATTTCGTTCTGTGTAAACACACCTTTAGTTGAAATTTGAAAACGTTGCATTTTCAATTTGGTTGCAAAAACACTTTAAAAATATTAGAATACAGCGTGTGGTAAGTTGTCAGTTATTTTTTTTTAACTAAGCAAATGTAAAAAAGTTAACTTTTCTATCATAAATAAATGTCAGTTGGGTATCGCCGTACAGATATTCAACAAACTGGAGACTATTTATGTGCTAAACTAAAAGAAAATCAATGTCAGTTCTAAATTATGGGCATACAATCAATTTTCCATAGACATTTTTATATTCTTAGACCGGACATTTAAAGTTGTGGGATTTCAATATAAACACGTTTTACATAAAAATCAAAAGATTTTTTTTTGTTTATTAATGTTACCTATGCGAACCTGATGCTTGTAACTAGTTTATTAATAAATGGTGAAGTTATAATACTATCTTGGAACAGTTGGAATTATGTGATTAGGATTTCTAGCAGACATGTATATAACACGTGTGACGTATTACTTTAATATAAATCATAAAAAAAGAGGAATGAGATTTATACAAATCGAAAATACTCTGTTACACAGAAATTGTGTGATGCCGTTAAGGCAAGACAAGGTTTTAAACACAATTTCCAAAAGCGATAGTGGTCATTTTACAAACATACAAATTACAAATAAAAAAGAAAACAGCATCGAAGTGCTGTCTAAGTATGTGCTAAAAACAGTTAAGTAATACAGTTAACAAACTGCTTTTTGACTACATGAAGAAAACATAACACGGTTAGTTAGGACCCATTTCGCGTTACTAGTTTAAGGCCCGTAATTCACCAAAGAGAAGAGGAGACGAGAGGAGATGTGTTCTGAATAACAAATTTCTCCGCAGCAGAGAAGATGTGGAAATAACGAAATCTGACCTCTGCAGCAGAGAAGATATTGAAATAACGAAATCTGGTTGGTTATTCAAAACACATCTCTCGTCTCGTCTCCTCCGCTGTGGTGGATTATGGACCTAACTCAGCAATCATTGGTCATGGTTTTATTTTGTATAAATCATACTTCAGGGCTGGCTTTACCCACTCTCGTGTCTACTGCAGCATAAAAAATATTTCAACATAATGAATGGTATTTGTAAATTGTGAGGAAGATGTGACTTGAAGTACAATTGATAGAAAAAAAAAACAGCGCATGCACGCCTTTTTTTTTTCTTTTAATTCAAAAATATTTTTAGCCATATCTAAGTGTGACAAACGTTTTTATATACGACAAACGCAAACTATAAGTAGGATACCACTATTTTAGAACAAAAACTGCTCTTAAAACATTACGTGTAGGTTAATTTAAAAAGTACTAGATCGTAATAAACGCCTGCTATAAATTTGTAATATTATATACTTCTATATGTGATAATAAGATATATATATACAAGTATAAAACTGTGGCTAACAGAATGCTTTTACCATAGTGCCATAATTATCTAGAAAGTGTAAAGATTATTATAAAGGGATCTAACAGAATGCTTAATACGATTGCCATCTTTGATTTCTTTATTTCACTTTTTGTTATCGTTTCAATTTATATCAGTATGCTTGGTCGCATACAATCACAAACATATCGTAACTAAAAATAATAAGTATTGTAGTGCATGGCTTTAGTGTGACATTTAAAACTAATGGAATAAATTAAGTATTCTTAGTAAATTAAGTAATTAATTTTTAAATTGTGATTAAATTGGAGTTAATTTCAGCCTATTTATAGTTAGGTATATACATATTTTCAAAATTTGTGTTTTTTTTTTGCATTAGCTTTTATACATATAATAAATTAATATTAAATATAAGTATTTTCCTAAGATGAAGAAAATCCTACCAATTCTTAACAGCTTTATAAATGTCAAATTAAATAAATTGAAATTGCGCCATATGCAAATTTTGTAATAAAAATTGTAAAAATTGTGTTGTAAATGTATCGAGGACATACATTTTATAGAATCGCCAAAGATACACTTTTAGAATACAAAAAAAAATCCAACAACAAAATGAAAACAGATCAAGTTGAGACGACCATAAAAGATTAAATTCGTTTACAAATTATAGAAACATAATTTTCATTTCAGGGAAATTCATTTTAAGACAACTGCCTGCCGTTATTAAATCGGCGCTATGATTTGTGGCTAAAAAAATAAAAATTAATAACCTCGACACCCTTTACTCTTACATAGTAGAATGTTAGACGATATGTGATTCAAATATTACAGCCATGCTTTTTCGATCCTTTATAAAATATCCGGTAAGCCGTTACAAAACAATAACGAGTTAAAACTTTCCTTCATTCAAATTAATGTTTCAATATTAATTTCTAATGGCAAAACAAAGATCGTTTGGAAATGTTCAGCGAACAGTTAATGCATATTAAAAAGTTTCTCCTCCTAATTTTCCGTCAAAGAGTCTTGCCGGAGTTTAATAATTCATTTAGCTGATTAATGTCGATCATCGCCGATCGATTTTTTTTTTTAAGAAAGTTATACTTTCAGGTTATACTTCATATAGAAGCGAAAGAGTTTTTAAATGACTTGATTTTACTGACGTAAAGACAATTGTTTAAGTAATCGAATAAGTACGGTTGACCTGTTCTTAAATACCCCGTATTCCAAATTCGAACTCGCTACAAAAAAAACTGCCCTAAAATCGATCCAATTACATGTACAAGTAAGGTTGACTTTGGAGTTTAGAACAAACAGTTTAGACGAAACCGAAGAACATCGTTTCGTTTTCCGAAACGAAACGAAATTTTTTTTTGTACAGAATAACTATTTTGAAGTCTAAAGACACTTATGACGTCATCAATGGAGGTAACCTAACGACGCTTCGACGCCAGCGCCGCTTCTAAGTGCTGACCACCGATCGGGTCTTCATCCTGGACAGCTCCTCCGCCTCCTCTATCGTGTCCGGCAGCCTCAGGTTCCTCGTCTCCGGCAGCATCAGCACCAAGCCGCTGGATATCATGCACATCGCGCCGAAAATGACCGTCGGCATCGACTTATGGTACTGTGACTGCAACAAACAGTGTTTTGCGTAAACCTTCACATCAATGATACCTTTAAATAGCATTAAAAAACTGGCCAAGTGCGAGTCGGGCACACGTCTGTTGTATGGGAAGCCCCATTTAAGTATTTTTTTTTAGTGTTTTTTTTAAGTATTTGTTGTTATAGCGAATAGATATACAGCATATGTGAAAATTTAAACTGTCTAACTATCACGTTTCGTGAGATACAGCCTGGTGACAGACGGACAGACAGACAAACAGACAGACAGACAGCGGAGTCTTAATAATAGGGTCCCGTTTTACTCTTTAGGTAAGGAACCCTAACAAAGTCGCTTCTGATGTTTGTGCGATTAGATCTTTTAAACAACGCAACCAATTTTAATGCAGAAAGAGATAAAAGGATTCAAGCTGAAGGTTTATGTGCAGTATACATGCATAGTATAGTAGAAAAAAGTCGAGAAAATTAAATATCTACATTGCACCCGTGCGAAGCCGGAGCGGTTCGCTAGTTATTTGTATAAATACAAAGTAAGTAGATAAGCCGTGATAGCTTAGTGTCCGGGCGCTCGCCTTTGATTCAATATACTCGAGCAACCTGAGTTCGATCCCCGGTGCCAGCACCAATGAAATCGTCCATTTTACGCGCTGACTTTATCACGTGCTCAACGGTAAATGAAAATATCGTGAGGAAACCTGCATATTTTCGAAATAACAAGAAAAATATTTCGATGATATGTGAAGTTCGCCAATCCGCAGTGGGGCCGCGTCGTGGACTATGCTCTGATACCCTCTGCAAAAAAGAGGAGGCCTTTGCCCAGCAGTGGGATATGTGTAGGCTGTTACTTTACTCTACTTTTTTTAAAGTAGATAATACGACACTAGCACACAAAATATGAAAATAAACTTTTGAAAATTGACACAATAATGCTTTGTTTATTTAATCTAACGAAAAACGCTTTAAGTATTCCACGAAAAACTTTTTTATTTCAAATTTAAAGAGTCCATTAAAGGTGAAAATGACGTCAGGATTTTGATGACTCCGCTCATCAGATTCCTCATTAATATAACTCGGTATCAAAAGTTTTATTACTAATAAAACTTTTAATACGACCTAGAATGGATAATGCCTTTGTCTTTCGTATTTCTTTCATGCATATTTAAAGAGATTTAATTAAATAAAGCAGTTAACGATTCCCGATTTGAAATCGAAGGTGTAACTTGCTATGTGTAGCACTAGAGTTACCGTTTATAAGATAATATTATAATTATGATCAGGTCAGAAAATAATAGGTTTACTTATGAAATTGCCGTTCTTCAATACTGGCCATTTCCAACATAAAAAAGTTTTGATAGGCTGTGTATTCTAAATTCAAATTAATTTGTTTTAAAAACAAAAAAAAAACCTTTTTACAAAGTCAGTCTTTTGTTTATTGATTATCTAGCTATGTGTGATAAACTACCACTGGGTTGGCAAAGATGCATCGATTGCAAGGCTGATTACTTTTAGTAACGGAAATGAAAATTTAAAAATAAAAGTTGCATCTGCATACCTACGGGTGTCGATGGGCGGCGTAAATAACTTAACATCAGGTGACCCACATGCTCTCTTGCCATCTTCACTACATAGTATAAAACCAAATGCTCCCGCTGTCTTTTTGTCCCTATGTATCGCTAAGAACTTTAAAACTACGCAATGGATCTTGATGCGGTTTTGTTTACTAGATAGAGCGATTCAAGAGAAAGGTTTATATGTATAATACATTACACCCGCGGAAAGCCGGGGCGGATCGCTAGTCCTTACCTAAACCTTCTTCTTGAACCACTCTATCCTTACTAATATTATTAAGGCGAAAATTTGTATGTATGGATGGATGTTTGTTACTCTTTCACACTAAAACTACTGAATGGATTTTAATGAACCTTTACAATAATATAATACATCGCAAGAACACATAGGCTATATATAGTTAATAAAGATATAATGAGAATTATCTAAAATATAAGAATAAGTGTCAAGTAACGGTGGTAGGGCCACGTGGCAGCCTCGGCTGTTGCACGAATGGGCAGGCTCGTCCGGGTAAGTACCACGACCTCACGGAAGACCGGCGTAAAATGGAAGTATGACAAATACTTTCGCGTTTCGTCTGGTGAGTGAGGTAGCCGGAGCCCAATTTTCAAAAGGTGGTCAACGCATCTGTAACCTTCGGGTTTGGCAGATGTCCATGGGCGGCGGTATTCACTTAACATCAGGTGAACCGTATGCTCGTTTGACAACTTTTCACATAAAAAAAGCAAGTAGGCTATTCTGATGTACCAGTATAAAACTAATTGTTAATTCCCATTGACAGTGCGGGCGAAGCCGCGTTTAACAGCTAGTCTTACATTAAAAAAAATACTAACCAATAACGGCGTCAAAGGCGCGATGAGGGAACCGATTCTGCCCGCCGTGGAGCAGACGCTGATGAGGGTCTGCCTCATGTTGGTCGGGAAGACCTCCGACACGTATATGTAGACGGAGCTGTAGGCCAGCGTGACGCTCCATTTGCCGACCAGGTACAGCGCGATCGACCACCAGTCGGCTGTGCGCAAAAGTGAAAAATCAGGTTGACTGGTAGATAATGCTGGTGCCATTAAGTCCACCTCTGTACATATCTTGTTTGCATAGAGTATAAATAAACAAAAAATTAAAAGTCATATTTTATTCATCGACAAACGTAAATGTTACATTGATAGTCATTTTCTTTAAAATTTGTAGAAAAAGTACGAAAACATTGTGCCGCTGTGGGAATCGAACCCACGTCTTCGGCATTCGCGGCCTGACGCTTTAGCCTCTAAGCTTAACGGCTGATTGCCACACCAACGAAAAACTTAACGTCTTCTATCTACATTGTTTTTTATAACTTGAAACAATGCTTGGCGCATCCATTGTTATATACTTTTCCAGCATACAAACAATTTCGAATATCGTTTTACAACGAGAATCCGAACGAGAGATGTCGCCAATGGTTTTTAGAATTTTTTTATTGTGCTAATCTCTGCACTTAAAATTAATCATTTTCTTCCTTTTTTAAATCCACCACCGTTCGTAATGAGGAGTAACGGAGAAAGATGTCCTTAAAGATGTCTTAACACTAAATCTAAATCAAAATGCCGCTGCGGCATTAATAACGTAAGAAACTTTCTCATTCAAATATTTAAGTGATAGTAGTACAATTAAAAAAAAAATAAATAATAGTTTAATCTGTCTGCATATCGTGTAAGTTAAGAGCCTGTGATGAGGCAACAGTAATAAATTATCATTGGACGTGCTAATTAAAGTCACGGAGTCCTATCGAGAGTAGGTAGTATTAGCAACAGCGGTTCCTTTATAAAAAAGTACGCAGACAAACGGATAGTACGAATATTTGCTATTCAAATTGGCCCCGCGGCGTAAATTAAACCGATGAGTAGACGGCGCCGATATAAAGTACGCTCCGTAAACTTGGAAAAATAACTAACCAGTATAAATTGTGGAAAAATTACTTTGGCAATAATTCGAAGTTTCCTTTTTTTTTGTGAAGGCGTCTTTTATGCAAATGACTCATGTCTATAGATGACGCGATAAGATAAGCATATCTATGTGTATACTTCTATTGTATTTTAGTAAAACATTGTGTCGGTTTTTAGTAAAGTTTTGGTATTTAGTAAAACTTAAGGCACAACGTCTTCGACTTCAACCATAAATAATTGTCATTTTTGAAATAGAAAATCGTGGTTTGATGCTTTACGTTAAAATCATCTATCACGCCATAAACTTCGAATGAAAGTTTTCATTTTGAACGAGAGCGCTTGGTTCTAAGTCATACCCAAATTAGTTTACACAATTATAAACAAATCAAAATTGGATCATTTCAGTTTTATAGCGAGATCTCAACGATTCTCTTCTTTAATGGATGGTGTATCTTTCTTAATATTTTTTGATTAATTTCTAAATATTTATACTTCTTCACCTAAAAGTATAGCTCTGCGTTACTTTCAACAATATGGTATTTAATTATCATTTATTGAATATCTTTAAATGAAATATCGAAATTGCAAAGAACATTTAACTAGTTATTAGTATAGTTATTTTAGAAATTACAATTTAAACGCAAGAATAAAAATAATAATAACGGGTCATTTATTTTAAATTGTTAGCATAAACAACTTGACTCTCACAATTGTTTATAGTAACTAATAATAGTATTACGATTTGATCCTATGCAAAAATAAGCACATTATTTATCTATTCGTTGTCAGTTTTCGGGCGCAATCAATAAATGTAGAACTTTTCATCGTTACTTCACTGCTCTTATAGTTTCGCTGATGAGGACGCACAAGTGGCCACAAATGTGGCTGATAAATCCGATAGTCTAGTGGATAGTGCACCTGTCTCTTGCGCCAGAGGGTGTGGGCTGGATCCCCACTAATGCAAAAATATTGTGTACTGAACATAATGTTTTTCTATAGACTGTATTTATATAGTATGTATCACATGTATTTATCAAAAACAATCTTTACTTATTTTGGAGATGTTGAATATTTCCTGGAAAGTGTAAGAGAGAATATTATGTCTGTCTGTCTGTCCATCTCTCACCAGGCTGTATCTCATGAGCCGTGATAAATAGATAGTCAAAATTTTCACAGATGATAATATTTCTGTTGCCGAATAATAAAAAACAGAATAAAAAATACGTAAGTGGGGCTCCCATACAACAGACATGAATTTTTGCCCTTCGTGCGCGAGTTTGACTCGCACTTGGTCAGAGTTTCAAGTAGTGTGATGCGTCCCAATAGTTTAATATTTTAGCACGGGCGTAACGTTGAATTGCAAAAGGCCGTGCGACGGCGATGAACTTGACACGATTGGTTGCGACTTTACGAGGCTATCGCTAGCATGTCGTCACAGCTGTACTCGCTATTTCGACCGTTCGTGCAAAAGACCATTGAAAAATGATGATCCAGTAAGCTACGTTTGATACTTGGGTACTATTTTTTAAAAGCCTACGCGTTGCAGACAAGCGTACGTGATTCTATGTCAATATACAGAAGAGCAAAATTAAGATAGGGAAGAGTGATTTACTACTTATCTAACAGGCGACTTTGCATGTTTCTAGGACAATCATTCCAACATGTGTTTTTATTTATATAGCTATAAATAGTTTTATTTTTCTACCGGTGGTAGGGCCACGCAGCAGCCTCGGCTGTTGCACGAATGGGCAGGCTCGTCCGGGTAAGTACCACGACCTCATAGAAAACCGGCGTAAAGTGGAAGTATAATACTTTCGCGTTTCGTCGGGAGAGTGAGGTGGCCGGAGCCCGATTTCCAAAAGGTTGTCAACACATCTGGAACCCTCGAGTGTAGCAGATGTCCATGGGCGGCGGTATTCACTTAACATCAGGTGAACCGTCTGCTCGTTTCAACTTTCCACATAAAAAAAAAATATAGCTACCTACGAGTCGGACGGTAAATAAATAAAGAATTAAAAGCCGGCCAAGTGCGTGTCGGACTCGCGCACGGGGGTTTCGTACCATTATCTATAAAAATGGCAAAAAAATCATGTCTATTGCATGGGGGCCCCACCTAAATATAAGGGACCCTTCGTGGGCGTTTCCGACTCGCATTTGTTGTAAGTCTACCACAGTTTTAATGCGGTTCACTAAGGGACTTCCTAAACAGGCGAAATAACTCATTACGTTACCGTTAACTTAACATTAAATTAATATAGGCTGACACTTTACTTTTTTTACTAATTCTAATAAACAATATGAGCTCAACTAATCTCTATAATTCATCGCATTTCTTGTATGCGCTGCATACGAGTTTGTTCGTGAGTCATGCCACGCCTCTTCGATACTCCGCTCACGCGATCTGCATTCCGCCGCATTTCATTGTAATCATTTCGTAAATTTGCAACGCATTTTAATAACACTTTTTTTTAATGCGAAAAGTTGTCAAACGAGCAGACGGTTCACCTGATGTTAAGTGAATATCGCCGCCCATGGACGTCTGCCACACCCGAGGGATACAGATGCGTTGACAACCTAAACGTTTAGTTATCTTTTTTATATAAGTACAAATATATGCTTTCTTCGCAATCTGTTCTATCGAAAGGAAAGTGAGCTACATTCTTAACATATATATATATATATATATATATATCATTCGTGCAGTTATTCACATATTTCATAACGGGGATTTTGTTATGACTTTAAAGTAAAGTACGGTAATACAAGTATATCAAGATCAAGTAGACATTTGTTTAACAAAATTCTAAATTTTCGACACTATTCTTGTCGAATTTTAAAATTAAAACTGTCCAAAATTTTAGAAAGAACTTCATAACTCCAAATTATTGTTTAATTTTGGTTTCAATTATCAGAAACTGGCGACCCGCCTCGGCTTCACACGGGTAAAATGTACTATACATATAAACCTTTTTCTTGAATCACTCTAGTAAATAAAACCGCATCAAGATCCGTTGCGTTGTTTTAAAGATCTACGCATACATAGGAACTCACAGCGACTTTGTTTTATACTATGTGGTGATAATAAGACCTGGTTGGTATTTTGCAATTTAAATTAGTGTTTCGTGATTTAAATAACGGTGGTAGGTCCACGCAGCAGTTTCGGCTGTTGCACGAATGGGCAGGCCCGTCCGGGTAAGTACCACGACCTCACAGAAGACCAGTGTAAAAGTAGAAGTATGTCAAATACTTTCGCGTTTCGTCTGGCGAGTGAGGTAGCCGGAGCCCAATTTTCAAAAGGTTGTCAACGCATCTGTAACCCTCGGGTGTAGCAGATGTCCATGGGCGGCGGTATTCACTTACCATCAGGTGAACCGTCTGCTCGTTTGGTAACTTTTCACATCAAAAAAAAAAAAAATTAAATTATTCAAACTGTAATTATTTTGAAACTAAATATAAACGGCCGTTCGACTTTTATGTTTTCACTTCTGTCGGCAGTCCTCGTGATTGAAATATTTTTTTTTTACTCCCAGAATGTTTCCGACCGGATCTCTAAATGAATAACGTGAGTCATTGAAGTCTTAAACCACGAGTTTTAACTGAACACGCGCTTACAAAATGCTTACAGCACCTTATTTAAACGTGCGCATTTCATCACAACGTTCTTAACTATGTCAATGTACAATCTAGTACAATAAAGCGTTTAAGCCCCGCAAAAAAGACATTTCTTTATGTAACGTTACGTTTCAATTTTTTTATTATCATTTAGATAACTTTATATAGGCCTACATGACAAGGTTGTATACGTTTTCTTATTTTCTTTGCATATCATATTATTAAATAATATATCTAAAATGTATACGAGACTATACGACGAAATGAGCAAACCGTTTCGTGTTAACATTTCGTGTGAAATTGCATTTTCATTGACGATATCGAATGAAATATAAGTACGTTCCGAATCTATTGGCATGTACAAGTAGAATTGGTTCAGTAAAAATTGTTGACAAACAGGCTTTGTTTGTTTTTATCTGTCTATAAATTAATTCGTGTAGCGAAAACTTTGGATTCCCATTTTATTCAATGATTCATTAACCGATTATTCGAATTTCTCCATACGAGTACAGATAATAATTCATCTGAGAAATCCGAAGCAATTAAACTATAATACTAGACGTTAATAATTCATTATGTTTAACTAATTTGAACTTGAACTGTGGGCATTAACACACTATTTTCGTCATACACAATTTTTACCGTAGTGAGAGAATCGATCCCACACCATATGGCAGTCACAGGTTTAGTAACCACTGCGCCAATCTTCAATAAGGGTACGGAAATGGCAAAGGCGTATCAGAAACATAAACCAGGATAATAATTATTATCTACTTCTCTCTAGGAGATCGCTGTCAGGGTTGTTCACCAAACAATTCCTACTTCCTTACTAATATTATAAAGGCGAAAGTTTGTATGTATGGATGGATGTTTGTTAATCTTTCAAGCAAATACTACTGAATGGATTTTAATGAAACTACAATAATACAGCTTATACATCATAATACGACATAGGCTATAATTTATATACATGTTTTATGTATATCTGTCTTTCTGTCTGAATTTTACGCATTCAGTCTATTCTACGCAGATGTAGTCGCGGGCAGCAGCTAGTTTCTTATATTACTGGCTAGTTAGAAATTGTTTGCCCTTCCCAATTTACGAACCATCGTCTCGATAAAACAATACATTGCGTAAATTTACCTAGATCAGGCAAATCGCTCATCACAATATAGCAAACAAGACGCAGAAAGTATTATATACCTGCTCCTTTAACTTATGGTTCTTTATATTAATACCCTGTTTTCTAAAAAGTAAAGTAAAGTATCAACCTATACATGTCCCACTGCAGGGCAAAGGCCTCCTCTGTACAGAGGGCATCAGGGCATAGTCCGGCCAGGGCATAGTCCGGCCAGGGCATAGTCCAGCCAGGGCATAGTCCAGCCAGGGCATAGTCCGGCCCCACTGCGTATTGGCGGACTTCACATATCTTCGAAATATTTTTTTTGTTATTATTTCAAAAAATATGCAGGTTTCGTCACGATGTTTTCCTTCACCGCTGAGCACGTGATAATGCAGCACTTAAAATTTACAATTTCATTGGTGCTTGCACCGGGGATCGAACTCAGGTTGCTCGAGTATATTAAATTAATGGCGAGCGCCCGGACACTGAGCTGTCACGGCTCTTAATACCCTGTTTTCTTAAATTTACTAATTCTGTACAAAGCGTCCTTTCGACAAAACAATGTAACGTAACAACATGGCCAAAATTTGTTACGTTACTTACATATTACATACACACACAGAAAGTGCACGATCACTGACATATGTATTTGGAACTAATTTTCTTTACTAATAAAGGCTTTTTAAAAATTCACTAGATTATAGAACACTAACAGGTCTGCACGGCACGTGTAGACAAAGTTGGAATTAGCTTATTTAAAATTTTCATATTACGCTTAATGACGACATCCAACAACGGTCGCACAGCGTGTTCCATATTTGTCAATATTTTATGCCGCCGGCCTTGGACAATATTAAAAAGTGCCATTAAAAAGTGGACCCCGGTTACCTCACTCTCCAGACGAAACGCGAAAGAATACATCTCTTCACGCCAGTTTTGTGTGAGGCCGTGGTACTTCCCCCAACGATTATCGGACTTCTATTCTTGCAACAGCCGAAGCTGCTGCGTGGCCAAACCAAACACACTAAAATACTCGCATATTAATCCTAAGCTGAGAGTGGTTATGTAATACCGATGGACAAACAAATAAACAACACTATATCATCATCATCATTTCAGCATGTTAGGCTCCACTGCTAAATATTATCCTCCCCTACAGACTGACACGAAGTTGACCCTGAGTAATCCGCACCCCTTCCCGCACATTTGCACAGGTCGTCACTCCACTATCCTTACTAATATCCTTGCTATCCTTACTAATATTACAAACGCGAAAGTTTGTATGTATGGATGGATGTTTGTTTTTCTCTCACGCAAAAACTACCGAACATACATGAATATAGCTTATACATCAGAATAAAACATAGGCTATAATTTAAAAAGTTTTTGTGTGAATTTTCCAAAATATAGGTAATGATAAGTGGCAACTAAGTTGGAAAAAATTCAGCCATCTGCGAGATATTCTGGTGTACAATAAAAAACCCATTGTTTATTCCCTTTGGCCGCGCGGGCGAAGCCGCGGTTAACAGCTAGTACGCGACATAACATTTGCATATACTCACATCTGGGCAGGAACGCGAACAGCAGGCTGGTGACGGCGCACGTGACGTAGTTCACGATCAGCGTCCTCTTGCGGCCGTACTTGTCCAGCACTATCACCACCACCACGTACGCCGGTATCTCCACCAGCACCACTAGCATGAAGCTCACGTACTTGTTCGCGCTCAGCGAGACCGAGTTTATCGACAGGCCGTAGTACACCAGCGAGCAGGTCATCCACAGGAACGAGCATATCACCAGCCGCTTCCATATTATGCTGGACCGGATCGCCTTGGAGAACTGGGACTTCTTGTCTGGCTGGTGCTCCGTTTTCAAGAGCGGGTCGCCCAGCGCGTCCAGTTCCAGGGACCTCGGGTCGAGGTTGTTTATCTTGGCGGCGCTCTTCAGTATCTTGACGGCCTCCTCCCGCCGGCCCTTGCTGAGCAGCCATCTGGCGCTCTCGTTCATGAACCACACGTAGATCCCGACGATTATCGCGGGGCTGTAGAGTATCAGGATGTAGGTGCGCCAGTTGTCGACGAACCAGGCGAGCAGCGCGATTAGGACCACGCCGACCACGAAGGTCATGTTGCACATCGCCGAGACTATGACGCGCTGCTTCAGCCCGACCAGCTCGACGGCTGTAGGGAGTAAGAAACCCACGATTAGCAGTTTAATCGGCGGTAAAATTGGGTCTTGATCAGCGGGCTTGGATTCGTTAAAGTTTGGTCTTAATCAGCGAGCTTGGATTCGTTAAAATGACTTTTGCCATTTGGTATGAATAATGAATATGATATACAATCATTAATAATGAATACCATTCATAAACTTGAATACAATTTGTGCGAATGCTACGGGAAAACTTTGCTACATGAGAAAAATAAAAAAAACCATTCTTTAAAATAAATAAGAATCGATGCATTTCGTTTTTGGGCATAAAAGAGAGTACAATGATATAAAAATCCTCTTATTCAATAATTGCAGTGTTATTTTAAAATTTCCCTCGCTATCGAAATTGACGTGGAAAGGCTCATTTTTCGATTGTAACGCAATAACGTTTCGCACGAGCGAGACGTTATTGCGTTAATAAAGCAGATGCATTGCATCGAATTGTTTGTACTGTGTAAATTTTATATTAATTTGAATACAAACAAGCCCCTGTCTGCGCTTATAAAGTCGAAGTAAAAAGTAAAGCGAAACCAAAAGACTGCTTCGGTCATAAAATATCTCGCTTCTTTTTATTTGTAGTGATTTAAACCATTTTAGCGAGGCCTGCGGTTACGGCTTGCGGTATGTCAACGATTTAGTAGCGCTGATTGGTGTTGCCAGACCCACCGCCGTTAGAACCCGATACTGGTAACATTGTATCGTGTTACCGTTGCAATTTAATTTTGTATCCGATAATGTACACTTTTCAATTCACTATTTACTGACTTAAGAAAGACTTCCGAAAGGAAGGCGAAATATTGAAAAATCTCAATTTCACAGTCGTCGTTTCAGCATTTCAATTAAACTGCGCATTATTTATTAATTTGCTTATTGTTTGTTTCCGACAAGATTTGTACAGTGAAATAATTTTTAAATTTATTATATAATTCAACACCGTGTCTTCTGTTGAATTTTTATTGAACTTTTTATCAGAAATACAATGCAGATTATCTGTTCGATAAGTAGGAAAATTTCTTCTTCTTTCTACATCTTTATCATATTATTAATGGTATTGGCTAGGTTCATTTACGGCCCCGCTGATTTACAATTACTACAACTACTAACAATTATTCGTGGGTCAAAAAATACTCGACCTGTCTGAAAATCGAACCCACGACCGCCAGCACCGAAGCTAATTTCTCAACAGTAGAAACCATTTGCATCTGATTCTTACGCGTTTCTGTGTTGTTGACTAAGTTGTATGTGGTGATCAAGCAAAAGCTGGTCCCACAGAAACACCACCAATATAGTACGCAGGCGAAAGGGTACCGTCCAAAGTCGAAGCCAACCTCCAGCGCCAGTTACGGGTTGCAATCTAATTTTGGTTATCTGATCAAGCCAAAGCCAAAGAACACCAAATAACCAGGTGGGCGGGTACAGTCCGCCGCCGAAGCCTTTCTTCAGCACCAGGTACGTGATGCAGCCTCATTTTGATATCTAATCAAGCCAAAGCTGATGACACAGGAACACCAGCAACCTAGTACGTAGGCGGACGGGTACAGTCCGCCGCCGAAGCCCACCTCCAGCACCAGTTACGTGATGCAATTTAATTTTGGTACCTAATTAAGTCAAAGCAGGTACCACAGGAACATTATCAACCTAGTACGTAGGCGGACGGGTACAGTCCGCCACCGAAACTCACCTCCAGCACCAGTTACGTGATGCAATTTAATTTTGGTACCTAATTAAGTCAAAGTAGGTACCACAGGAACATCACCAACCTAGTACGTAGGCGGACGGGTACAGTCCGCCGCCGAAGCCCACCTCCAGCACCAGGTACGTGAAGCTACCAAATATCCGTTCAAGCCAAATTAGGTACCACAGCACCAAGTGCGTGATGCAGCCCAATTTTGTTATCTAATCAAGCCAAAGCAGGTAGGACACGAAAACCACCAACCTAGTACGTAGGCGGACGGGTACAGTCCGCCGCCGAAGCCCGCCTCGAGGAAGTGCAGCACGAGGTAAGTGATGTAGCCGCCGCTGAACGCCCTGGCTATGCCGAACACGAAGCTGGCCGTGGACGCGATGCCCACGGCCACCTTGCGGCCGAAGCGGTCCGATATCGCGCCGGTCACCAGCATCGCCGCGAACATGCCGGAGTTGTGGACGGTGCCGACCAACGCCCGCTTCCACTCCTTGCAGCCCAGGTCGAACTGGACACGTTTTAAACGAGCTGGCTGGTTAACTTATTGATTTGGTTGGGCAAATGTTTATTCATTTAATCACATTGCTAAATAAGCCGTGATCGCTCAGTGCCGAGCGCTCGCCTTTTATTCAATATACTCGAGCAACGTGAGTTCGATCCCCGGTGCCAGTACCAATGAAATTGTTAATTTTAAGTGCTGAATTAAAAAAAAACGAATATGTGTGAAATCCACCAATGCGCACTGGGGCCGCGTGGTGGACTATGCCTTGATATCCTTTGTACAGAGGAGGCCTTTGCCCAACAGTGGTACATGTATAGGCTGATACTGATTGCTAAATACAGACTAGTTAATTTAATCATTTTATTAAGTTTGAACTTATTAAAATGATTAAATTAACCAGCTTACTAATTCAATTAAGTTTGAAAATTTTTTTATTAATTTAATCACACGGCTAAATCTGTTAAATCATAAAAAACAAGATACTAATTCGTGTGATATCGTACTACATTTACGTAAGTAATTTCAAAAATATTATCATAATATATCTGATGTCACTTAGTGGTCAATTAAACGAACAGACAAGACAATGTAACCTACAATTCATGTACCTATCTTTACGTATGAATTCAAATTACACGAGTTCGAAGCAGTTCCGGTATTAATTCACGCCGGAGCTATAACAACGCATTTATTAACAGGCCCAGAGCACCCTTCAAGCTTACGACCGAATTAAACCCAGGAAATGTGCCGACACTAACGTACACTCGCAACAATATCCCCTCAAGCAAGGTCAACAATTGCTGCAGTTTTGGTGGAGGGAATTATTAACGCCTAAAACATAATGTTTTACATCAACAAATTTCACATGGAAATGCAGTAACGATAAATATAATAAATAATGTTTCCAACATAAGGGCCGAATTCCATGCCCACTTTCAAAACGCACCCTGTATAGACTATACAGGTTGAGTTTTGAAAGTGTTAATTCAATGCGCCTTCATATATTTGTAATCAATATTCAAATTGTTTAAATTATTTAGATCGAAATTTGAACCGCAGTCGATCGACGCGGAGAAGAAAACTTGATGATGTCTACGGCTACTTTAATATAGTTTAACGCCAAGGTACATTATTTATTACGGTCCATTGCACTGACACTGTGACATAAAGACACAATCTACCACCTGTACATATACAGGTAAGAATTCAGAGTGTGTGATGTGTGTTTATTACCTCTTTGAGTTCTGGAATCAATTGTAGATCACATCGTACAGCTATGAGAACTTAAATTTATTTATCTGAACTTATCTTTCATAAATCGTTAGATTGACGGATCTTTGGTGGGAATTAGGACCCGTGGTGACCAAAATCGAGTTTAAGTTTGACTAAGAAATCGTGCGCATACCTCTTTGACGAATGACCGGCCCTCTTCATACACGAAGCTGTCGCAGGGCACTGTCTTGTTGGAGAACTCATCAGGACTGCATTGTTGCAGCGTGGAGTTCACGCCGGCGTATCTCGTGCACTTGTCTGGTCGGATCCCATCACCGTCCTTCGGGATGGCGTACTCCAGCCACGAGGTGTCGTTGAACCTCTCCTCGCATCCGTGTATTTCGCATCTAAAATTTAATGCATCTATAGTGAATCATGTTTATCGCTTGCCACGTACGATGACGTAACTCCTTGCTCCAGGTGAAATAATACTCATTGTCCATGCAGTCCCAATCTATGTCCAAGATCGTAAAAGGAGAATGGTAGTCTAAGCCTTAAATCTATACAGAGAAAGACTTCTTGTTATGTGGTGGTATAGAAAATCTGTCATCAATAAAAAAAATAAAGTTCTTTAAACATTGGTTCTTCTCGTACTGGCCATCGCAGTGTAGGACGACCCCCCACTAGATGGAGTGACGACCTGTGCAAATGTGCGGGAAGTCGATGGATGCAGGTGGCTCAGGATCGTACTTCATGGCAGTGTATGGGGGAGGCCTATGTTCAGCAGTGGACTCGGACAGGCTGAAATGATGATGATGATGATGATGAAACATTGGTTAACATGAAAAAAAAAATACTGAATTGTTAGTCTGTTCAAAACAGACTAATTATCAAAAATTGTCAACATGACAGACTATTGCACTTTTACGAATTAAAAAGATTATGATCTACTAATTCATTATTTTAATCTACCTCGTTTTTGTTTATGTGACGTGTAAATATAATGAGTACAAATATTGTCCGTTTACGGATATTCAATAAATTTTAAGAAAAACACTACAAAACCAAATATTATCAATTGTACGAGAACAACAACATAAAATGGACATTACAGAAATACGTGTCATTCTAATCGTGGATCGTATAACACTGCGATTATAAACAAAACTATGCACGCAAGATAATAATTTAAATTATCGATAGCGATATTTTATCTGTGCACGGATAGACGCGCATCCGCGTGTCTCTGACAGATTAGATATGAATATTTATCGAGCGATACGTGACAAAGGGTTGGATTCTAGTTTTATCTGCATCTAATCTCACACACACTGTTTGTTGACATTAGTTAACAAACGTATCGAACGGGTTAATCTCATCACACCGGGAGGGGTAATGTTAAATAATAAAAAATTAAAAAAATGTTATTATTATAGCTCTTAGTATTGGAAAGTTTTCAAATTAGTAAGTAGATATACAGCGTGTCGTTACCATCGCGACAATAAATGAACACACGTCTATCGCTACTTGCCAATAATCATAAAAAAATGTTAACGTTAAACAAAATCCATAATTAAAAAAATATATTTTTCAAACAAACTAATTAAGTAAAAAAGAAACAAAATTTGTAACATCCTATACAACTCGTGCACAGCGTCGTATTACAAGCCTCTTCTTCTAACAGTATGTTTTGTCTCTTTTAAATTCATTCAACCCATTCATATGCTTTGTGACCTTTACAAATGAACTTTACATTACGCTTTTATAGGTAAGGGTGTTCTAAAATTCTTTGTTTTGGAAAATTTAATAACTCTGTAAATATTGATGTTTAAAGAATTTAAATGTTTAATACAACTTTAAAAAGTTATCCCCTATATGTGTGTTCATTTATTGTCGCGATGGTAACGACACGCTGTATAAATTAGTGAAAATTAATTTGGATGGAGTAACTTAAGTTTAAGACAACAAAAATATAATAAAAGTACTCCGTAGATGTATACAAACCGTGATACACTTTCTTAAATTCTCTTATTCCATATTAAATTCTCAATTTTTCCACATATAAATAATAATTATTTATATGTGGAAAACTGGCAACTGAAAAGAGCCTGAGATTAGGTGATTAACGCTGCCCATGGACATTTACACGTAATGGGTTGCAGATGAGATGCCAACCATTTAAAAAGTAGGCCCCGGCTACCTAACTCACCAGATGAACGCGAATTTACAATAATTCCACTTCACCAAAGTGTTCTGTGAGACCGTGGTACTACCCCGAACTAGCCCGCCCATTTGTGCAACAGCAGAAGCTGTTACATGGCCCTACCACAGCTACGTAATTCTTTTTTAAAATTTTAAAACTATACAATATATGTAGTAGTTTTGATGACTCCGTGGCGCCGTTGCCAAGGTATTGGCTTCGGCGTCGGGGGTCGTGGGTTCGATTCCCACACGGGACAACTATTTGTGCGACCCACAGATAGTTGTTTCGCATCTGGGTGTTTGTCCTCGTGCAATTTATGTTTGTAAAACGTCCTTACAACACAGGATAATGTTATCCTAAAGTGAGGGCAATTTTTTTTTTTTTATTTTATTTTTATTTTAAGTATATCCGATCGGCGGTGAATTAATTATGTTGTAAGAAAATGTGATTGTCATAAATAATTTTTTCCAATAATTACTTTCACGTGCAACAGAAAAAGATCTTTTCCGAGAACTAAATAATCTAATTGAAAAAGTAAAACCATTTGTAAAACAATTTTCAGCTAAAGAAATAAGTCATGTATGTTATGTTATAATAGCAAGTCCACATAACAAAAATGAAGCCATTTTTTAAATAAAAGTCCAACCGAAACGGTGATATTTCTCATTAATGCAACATTAATATCCCGAACCTCATAACTGATGAGATATATTGCTCACGGTAAACCACAAAATATCCCGTCGGGTAAAATTCTCATATCTACAAAGCGTCATAAATATATTCGCGTGGCAACATTTAACCATCGGCAGGGCTGTCAAGTTGCCAGTAATATACGCATGATTGGGTAGAACGTTATATTTATAAAATTTTGCAAACGTATCTCTTCATTTTTGGGGTAAATCGCGAAAGCAACGGAAGTAAAATATAGCATTGAACCAACACACGAACAAACTGCATTCCGATAAATAAAAACTTTTCTCCGCAAGCAACATTCCAAACTGCAAATGTTTACAAACGGCCAGGAGTTAGGAATTTCCGGAGCGCGTGTAGGAGTTAGCAAATAGTCGACGAATGTGCTGGAAAAATGTTCCACCATCGTAAACTGTTCTTCCCTACGTATTTTGCTTGGGCAGGTTTGACAATTTCAGAATTGGAAAGGGCCCAATTAATCAAATCACACCAACGAAGAAACAAGCTGATGTATTAATGGCCGTGGAATCGGGAAACTAGGTGCTTAAGTTTATATTACAGCTTAAAAGTCAAGCTCTTGTCGGATGTGATTTTATTTTATGTTTTTTAACTCAGAAGTACAACAGATTTTAAAACTTGTAGAAAAAGAACGAAAAGATTGTCGCCGCTGTGGGAATCGAACCCCCGTCTTCAGAATTTGCGGTCTGACACTTTAGCCACTAAGCTAAACGGCCGATTCCCACAGCCGCGAAAATCTTTTCGTTTTTTTTCTACAAGTTTTAATGTTTAATCTTAAGTGCAGAGATTAGAACTACAAAAAACTTTAAATTTCTAAAAAGTAATGGCGACATCTCTCGTTCAAAATTATCGTTGCAAAACGATATTCGAAATTGTTTGTATGCTGGAAAGGATATAACAAGAGATGCGCTAAGCATTGCTTCAAATGATAAAATAACATTTTAAATAAAACACGTTAATATTTTCGTCGGTGTGGCAATCAGCCGTTTAGCTCAGTGGCTAAAGCGTCAGGCCGCGAATACCGAAGACGTGGGTTCGATTCACACAGTGGCGACAATCTTTTCGTTCTTTTTCTACAAGTTTTAATGTTTAATTTTAAGTGCACTATAAAAAACTTTAAATTACAATAGATATTTTTGCATTGGTTTCGCCTCCGATGTTGTTCCAGATTTCGATTCTGTTCTATTGTTCTTTACAGCAGAACTCCTTTGTTTGTGAACCATTTTTCATTACTAATGCAAGTGGTGTTTCTTGGTTGTACGGCCACGCAGCAGCCTCGGCCTGTTGCACGAATGGGCAGGCTCGTCCGGGTAAGTACCACGACCTCACAGAAGGCCGGCGGAAAGTGGAAGTATATACTTTCGCGTTTCCTCTGGTGAGTGAGGTGGCCGGAGCCCAATTTCCAAAAAGGTTGTCAACGCATCTGTAAACCCATGGGTGTAGCAGATGTCCATGGGCGGCGGTATTCACTTAACATTAGGTGAACCGTCTGTTCGTTTGGCAACTTTCACATAAAAAAAAGTAATCGTCTTGAAAATTCATAACGAACACAGGTTATCATGTTTGAAAATTCATAAAGAACACAGGTTATGGTGTTTAAGAATTCTTTACGAACACAGGTTATTATTGTGTTTACCTGTACATTTGCTCCTGAGCCTCGAATATGAAGCCGCATTCGTAGAAGCTGCTCAGCAGCACCGGGAACAGCAGTAGCACGAAATTCAGGAGGTTGTATCGGCCGTACGGGCCGAGGCTTTCGAGCACCGAGTCCAAGTTGATCTCCTTCTTCCCCTCCATCCTCTGCCCTTTTGCTACCACCACCCGGTCCCTCGACCGGCCAGCTGCGACGGCGATCTGCAAATAGACTGGTACTGAAGGCGGGATTGCGTAACGACCAGCAGATAGTCTTGGCTGTTGCACGAACTGGCAGATCCATCCGGGCAAGTCGTCGCTAGTGGTGGTGGCAAGTTACGATACATGTACAGCTGTGGTAGGTTCACGCAATAGTGTTCGCTGTTGCACCAATGGGCAGGTCACACAACATGAAATCACAGAAGACCGGCGTGAAGTGGACATGTTATACTTCTGCGTTTCGTCTGTCGAGTGAGATAACCGAGGTACACTTTTGAAGGTTTTCATATAAGCAAGCTCTCGGGTCATACACGTCCATGGGTGGCGGTGTTCACCTCACATCTGGTGAACCGGCTACTCGATTGACAGCTTCACTATTACTACGATGAACGATTAGGAGTTTTAGTCAATGGGGCTTTAATTTATAATTAAATATTAATAACATAAAGTTTAAGTGTTAGTGGAGGGGTTCCGGGAAGGCAAAACAAGTGAGTGACTGTGGTAAAATGTCACTTGAAATGTAAACGTCTCTTTGCTGCATCACTACATAGTATATAACAAAGTCGTCCCGCTGTCCGTCTGTCCCTATGTATGCTTAGATCTTTAAAACTACGCATACAGCTTGATGCGGTTTTTTTTACTTGATAGAGTGATTCAAGAGGAAGTTTTATATGTATAATACATTGCAACCGTGCGAAGCCGATGCGGGTCGCTAGTTTCAGATAAAAAAGCCCGAGACAAAATTGTTCGTCAATCGTCAGGAAGCGCGGTGATACAGAACGGTAGCCCGCTCTAGAAACGATTGCAGAGGCGTGACTGCGGTATGAAAAATTTGTTTTGAAAACATTTAAGCGCCAAAAAATCGCCATTTTGATTGTTATTAATTTGAATATATACAGTGGCACTCAAGCAAAAAAAAAAACAAATACACTATGTATACCTACAAATCATCAAGTGTCGTTCTTTTAGTAGTTACATAAGGACGGACATACATATAGATCAACACATAACACTTCATTTTTGACTTTGCCACAGTCGGGTAAAATATTTCTTTCTTTTCCAATTATTTTTTTCTAAATCAAGTTTTTACATGATTGCTTTAACTTTAGGGCAACTATTTTCAAAAATTATTGACATTTTAAGATCTCAGGAAATTTTTAGAATTATACGCGACTAATTTCAGGAATCATTTTCTCTGTATTTTAGTCCATTATTTAATATCTTATCCTGATTAATAAAGATTAGATATTAAATACTCATATTTAATATCTAATCCTAATATCCTGCTTTTGAAATTAAACGTGAAAAACTACTGTATTTTTCACATAAATCAACAACTTCTTTTAAAACCTGATATTTGAATTGCGTATTTCATTCATCATTTCAAAAAGACATGACCTTAGAAATACGTATTTTTAAAACCTAAAGCAGTCTTAAGACTGAAGACTATAAAGTAAAATAATAAACTTAAAGAAAAGTAATGCACTTGTTTGAAGCAAAAAAAGGCATAGCCACATACTGCTCATTTAGTGTAAATATACTTTGTTACAATTGTAATCTGGGAATTAAACTTCTAGCGAACTCCGACCACCTCGTTAGGGTTACGGTACGTTTTGCTCTACATAATGCAATATTATTTGAACTGTCCATAATATACACGTATATAAATTTAAACCAACTTCCACCATAGCAGACTAATTTCGCCGTGATTTCAGCGTGAAAACAGATTTATAAACTTCGCGTTCTATTGTTAAAATTACATACGTTTCTCTCCATGCAGTGAAATCCTGCGTTAAATATTTAAATTCTTACATATTTAAAAAGAACGACACAGAGAAAGGAGTCTTTTTGTTCCAATTTTATATAAGTTTGTTGTAACTATTACGAAAACCAAAACGTATCGGGTAAAATCACTTTGATTACAACCCGAGGCCTTGGATCTGGAGACGATTAGGAATTTTAGTCAATGGGGCTATGCTAATTTATAATTAAATATTAATAACATATAGGTTAAAGTGTTAGTGGTGGGGTTCCGGGAAGGCAAAACAAGTGAGTGACTGTGGTAAAATGTCACTTGAAATGTAAACGTCTCCTTGCTGTGCATCACTAAATAATATAAAACAAAGTCGTCCCGCTGTCCGTCTGTCCCTATGTATGCTTAGATCTGTAAGACTACACAACGGATCTGGATGCGGTTTTTTTTAAATAGATAGAGTGATTCAAGAGGAAGGTTCATATACAATACATTGCACCCGTGCGAAGCCGCAGAGGGTCGCTAGTATCTTAAAATTGTCAAGGAAAATTAGTACACTAATTTATTATCCCATTTTTTTATTTCTTTTATTTCTACTGGCTAACTCCTGGCCACCCGATAAAAAGAGGATCTGTCGTCATAAGCGGTGAAATGAAAATTCTCGAAAACTCTATACGGTCCCTGATATAAGGTTTATATTGGAAATGTGGTTGACGACAACTTCCCCATGTATTGAACAACGATTAAAAACAAAACGTCGACGTATACACGCGGCTAAAGGGAAAACTTCGCCCACACAACTTGCGGGTTTGAGGAACAGAAAAAAAACAGCCCCTCGAAACGCCCCGTAATATTTCATCGAGCGAACTCCATTTATTTATCGAGTGTAATAAAGCAGTAAAGCTTCCCTGTCCGCGGTAAGTTCTGGGAGTCGAGAGGAGACGTCGAACAAAACAACAACGCAATATAAGCCGTGGAGTATGCGGAGCGAATCTAATATGTATTTTAATGCAATTTTCCTTCGGGACTTCTCTGTCATTTTCTAATTCTTTTGAGCGCTAAGCGTAATTTACGTGTTCAATTCCAAATTCGAAATACTAAGGCGAATCTTATGATAGTCGTGTTTGTGAACTATTGCCATAATCTTTTTATCTGGAAATCTTATGATCAAAAATCACTCCAACCGTTAACAAGATGCGTCATGTATAGGATTTAAGCTCCGTAAACAAATTAAAGAACTATCGTAATAGACACATATCATAGATCAAAGTTTCAAGTTCTTGTTTTAGTCGTAAGTACCTGGAGGTTTGCTTTTTTTTTTGGTAAATCGTGTATTTTGGAAATTACATTTAGATACAAATTACTAAGTAATGAAATATGCATAATATGTTTCGATCTTACCGACGTAATAATAAGAAAATATGAACTGGTGTTTTTCAACGAACTTTAAAAAAAAGAAAGAACTTTAAAAAAAGGGAAAAAAATAGCAAAATAACAAATCGACAAAAAATAAAAGATAAAGAAAGCAATGATCTGGAATCGAAAAAAAGTAAAAAAAATAAGTGTGTAAATGATCGTGATGCGAACCACGGCCTTCTGTTTCGTGGCTGTTTGTTAGCGGCCGCCCGATTACCGACCGAGCTATTATAACATTTTTTTTTTTCGTTGAAATTTACCGTCGTATTCGAATAATATTTTTCATTCCCTGAAAACTGGGATAAAACGACATTTTCTAAAAATGAAACCTAGCCAGATCGATTTTTCGCCCCCGAATCTACGCACATACTAAATTTCATGAAAAATCGCTAGGGTTATTTCCGAGATTTCAATTATATATATATATATATATATATATATATATATATATATATATATATATATATATACAAGAATTGCTCGTTTAAAGGATAAGATTACTAATGAGTCATATATCTGAGTCAATACATCATTTGAAAGTTGTTGAGATAAATGCTGTAGTGTTATTGATTCTTGTATTACGCAAAACATCACATAAATACTGTTACGAGTATACAGATTTTATAGCTTTTGTTTTGTTTTAAAATTACTATTTTATTAATTAATTAATTACTTAAAAATAAGTTAATTCAAAAACAATGTTTGTAAATTAATTAATAAAAATTATTCGTTTTTAAATTAAAAACTGTTATTAATTATTCGTAAAATGGCCGTGATATCTCATTGGCCGGGCTGTCGCTTTTAACAGTCAGATAATAAAAATAATAAATAAAATAAAAAGCCTTTTTATTTCATGCAATTGAAACGTTATTTAACATTGTGAGTAATAAACAACAACAGTGAGTAATACGTATTTTTTTAAATAAAAAGTCTAAAAGAAAAGTTTTTAACAATCTATAGATTAAAGACTTCTATTGCATGAACCCTCTTTAGGTGAAGGCCTCCTTCAACAATTTCCACTTGTCTCTGCATTTAGCAATCTTTCTCCAATGTGGTTCCGCTACCTTCTTTATAACAGTCAGATAGTTATTCACAATTCCACAGAGCTGTAAGAAGTAGTTGAGCCACTAATAATATATATTTTTTTATGTTAGAAGGTGGCAAAGATAGGTTCACCTGATGTTCACTGATAATGGACCATGGACATTTACAACACCCCTAGCGTTATAGATGCGTTACTTTAATAAAGTAGGCTCGGGTTACCCCACTCACCAGAAAAAACGTAGAATACACTTTCACTTCACGCTGGTCTTCTATGAGATAGTGCTACTTCCCCGGACGAACCTGCCCATTCTTACAACAGCGGAGAGTGTTGCTTAGGCATACCCTGCCCATTTGTGCAACAGCGAACACTATTGCGTGGCCCTACCACAGTTAACTCCAACAACTATTATTTAATTCAATCGTTCACATAATTGCTGACCGAACTTCGACCGAGCTTGTAAAAGAAATAAGCTATCAGTAATATGAGGTAAAGAGGATAAACCTGCAACACATGTTAAGTATTCTTATATTTATGTAAAAACTAGCGAACCGCCCCGGCTTCGCACGGGTGCAATGTATTATACATTTAAACCTTCCTCTTGAATCACTCTATCTATTAAAAAAACCGCATAAAGAACCGTTGCGTAGTCTTGAAGATCTAAGCATACATAGGGACAGACAGACAGACAGCGGGACGACTTTTTTTTATACTTTGTAGTGATAATTCTAAAATTCCTAAATAATATCATATCAAAAATATCCACACTGCGGGTAGAATCAAAAAAGCGAC